AGCTCTGAAGGCTGCACCCCGTATGAAGAGAAGCCAAGGATTTAGCAGGCCCTGAGGGCCGCACCTCGAGTCCAGGGAAAGCCGCTCCTACCTCATGTGGGTTTTCAGCGCCGAAGGCTGGGAGAACTTGGCCTCGCACTCGGGGCAGCCGTAGGGCTTGTGTCCCGTGTGCGTTCTCTCGTGGAGCCGCAGGGCTGTCCTGGAGCTGAGCCCCTTGCCACACTGGTGGCACTGGTGGCGCTCCCCGCCGCCCTCGTGCACCTGCAGGATGTGCCTCTTGACGTCCTTCTTCCTCTTGAAGCGCTTGGTGCAGAGCTCGCAGGGGAAGCGGCGCTCGCTGCTGTGCACGTGCCGCTGGTGGCTGCGCAGGTTGCAGCGGTTGGCGAAGGTCTGCGCGCACGTCTCGCAGCGGAACTCCAGCGCCGAGGCCACCCCGTGGCTCTGCTGGATGTGCTTCAGGAAGCTCTTCTCGTACAGGAACTCCTTCCTGCACGTGCTGCACTTGAAGGTGCCGCTGCGCTTCTTTTTGTCCGCTTCGCCTTTGGGGAGGTTTTCCGGGGAGGTCCCCTCAGGTTTGCCAGAGTTCTCCTCCTGCTCCCGCTCTCCCTCCTCACCCTTGGGCTCCTTTTCCTCCTCGGCGTTCCGCTGCTGCTCCCGCAGCCTCCGGGTGTATTTTTTCTTTGGGATCTCCACGAACACCTTCCTGCCAGCCAGCCGCCCGCTCGCCCTGCGGATCTTGGCGTAAGGAGCCTTCAGCACTTCCTTCTTTTTGTCCATCTTCTCCTTGGACTTGGCAGCCGGCCCCTCAGGAGATGCTCCATGGCCAGGCATGGCTCCGGAACAATCCGGAGAGTCCCACTCGGCCTTTGCCGTGGGCACAGTGCTCGGGCGGGTGGCACTTTCCTCCTCGGAATTCTGCGACTCCGAGAAGTTCTGCAGCTCCAGCAGCACGGATTCCAGCATCTGCTTCTTCAGCTGGAAGCAAGTCTCGGAGAGATCCAGGCACTTGAGCTTCTCGGCGATCTCAAGCATGCGCTGCACCCTGTCCTCCTCCACCTCCACACGTGCTGTGTACACAAACTCCAGGAAGGAGGCGAAATCTGCCACCTGCACCTCGTTGAGGAACACGTTGCTGTGGGGGCCATCCACGGGCTTCTCGTTGAGGAAAACCTCCTTGAAGAACTTGCTGGTGGCGGCCAGCACGGCCTTGTGTGCCGGGAACTCGGCGCGGACGCCCTGGTACTCCACGCTGACCGTGACATCGCACAGGTGGCCCAGCAGCCGCAGCTGCTGCATCTCGTTCAGCAGGTTGATGGGGGATGATTTGGATTCCAGCAGAACGGGGTTGCTTTCCATCTTCCTTCTCCGTGCTAACGAGATCCCACATCAGACAGCAGAATTCCACAGGTTTGCAGTAGCTGGGGCTGGGAGGAGATCCGAAATCGTTCAATCCAACCTTTGACCAATCTCCAGAACCTCAAGAAAACCACAAAGTGAATCTGAGCTTAAATCCCAACCCTAATTTTCCATGAAACCCTTCAGGCTGTCAGAAGCTGGGATAGGGATGGAGCCAACAGAGCTAGATCGAAGTTAAGGCACCTGGAATTAAGGAATGATTCCTAGCCTCGCCAGGCAACAATAAAAGGAAGGCAAGATTAAGCAAAAGCTAACTGTTGTCCTAAAATACACCTGAAAATGCTGTCCACATAAAATTCCAAACGCTTATGTGATGGATAATCATATTCACACAACTGAAAATCCCACAAATGATGGGAGTTCCTCAAAACGGACTCACAGCCTGCACATTCTGAAGGCCCATTTCCAACTTTCCATCGGCCTCTATTTCTTGGGAATGCTTGAAGCTGCTCCAAAGCTTGTAAAAGAGTGGAAGTTTTGGGGTGTTTTTCCAAACATCTGACCACAGAACAAACCAGATTTCTATGGATTTAAAGGTGCCCTGAGGAATCTGTTGAGTCTAACCCTGTTACTACTGGAATCTGAGGAATTCCTTTCCATGGCTTGGGAATTAAATGATGTCTCACCCAATGCTTTATAAACAATCAGTGATACCAAAATCCCACTTTTTTACCACAATAAAGTGATTTTTAACTACTTCTCGTGTTATTTGACAACTACCCCTCTAATTCCATTTGAGCACTGTCCATTTCTCAGGAATGTCCATTTCTTATTTCCCCTTCCAGAGGCAAAACTGGCTGGAAAGAGGCAAAAAGCTCCAGCCCAAAGGGGAATGGGAGAGGATTCCCAGGCGGCTGCTGCTGAAGCCATGGAGAACCCCACAGTGCTCACTTCCAATCCCATTCGCAAAGGTCTCTAGATCACATGGGAATGATGAGGTGGGGGAAAGGATCGGGGAAAAAAGGGGAGAGGAAATGGGGGAAGGGTGGGAGAAGAAAAGGGAGGGGGAAAGAACTGGGGGAAAGAGGAGAGGGGGAGAATGAGGGGTGAAGAGGGGAGAAAAGGAAGGGGGCGGGGCCAGCCCCGCACTCACGGCTCCCGGTCTGTTCCCGGTCCTGTCCCGGTGCGTGCGGCCCCGGGCGCGGCCGGAAGCGCTGACGCGCCACGGCCCCGGCGGAGGCGCGCCGGACGTGACGTCACGGAGAAGAGCCGGGTGTTGCTAGGCAACGCAGCCTAGCCCCCGGATTTGGCATTCCCAAATCCCGGCGTTTTCCCCTGGGCGAATGAAGGAGGGACGGGCTGGGCGGAACTGGCAGCTTTATTAAAGGAGGAATGGGTGATAGCGGCCGCACTGCGCCGTGTTTGTATAAACACACACCCTACCCTGCCCATTCCGAATGGGATGCTCCCGCAGCTTTGGGAAAAATAAACCTCTGGACAGATGCAAACATTTCAGTGGAATAAACACCCTCATGAGGAATTACACCTTTACCTCCTGCAATGCAGCTCCCGAGGCAGTGACCATCGAGAATGATTCCCTGCATTCCAAAGGATAATACCCACCATTCTGCCTCCAACAGTCCATTCTGGGTCTAAAAGTGACTTTATAAGTACAAAAGGGAGGGGTGAGTGTTCCCGGTGTCCCCAAGCCCAGGTGTCATGTGAGCTGCTGCTGCTTTAGCACTTCCTCGTTTATAAAGTTTCCCGTGGTCAACTGATCAAATTTCCGGCATTGGATCTCCTCCTGGATGCACTTCTGCTAAAGTCTCTATTTTGGACCAATTGTTGTCTTTTTTTTGTGTGAGGTCAATCAAGAAGTTTCTCCAGTGAGCATTCCGGTCATGGATCTGGGAAAAAAGAAGGAAGTGGGACAGGAAAACAATTAGATCTGATTTTTAACTGCCAAACATTTAACTTCATCCAGAGCTAAATCCAACAATTTTGGGATAACTCCATGATGAAGTTTTAACTCAAACACAAACAAGACTCTTGCCAAATCTGTGCTGAATTTTTGGCTTTGCTGCCATGGAACTCTTCCAAAATCAGCTGGAATTTCAGCACACAGGCAAAATATTGACTTGGAGCTGGAAGGGAGCCTCCTGTTCTGTGTGTGCTGTCACTTCCAGGACCTGGAGGTCTCTGGGAAGAGCAGAGCTCAGCATTTTCCAGTGGAATGCCGGGAATGTGTTACGAGGCTGGAATAAGGGTTAAAGCATCGAAGACTGCAGTTAATCCATAAAAAAATCTAAAATCTCAAGTCCTTTCTCAAATGTTTTTGTGGAATCTTTCAATGGAAAAGATCTCAGAGATGATGATCATTAGGAAGTGCTGTATCCAGTCACTTCCAGGGATGGTGACTCTTCACCTAGGGCTGGGAGATGAGTGGATTGGTAGCCAGCAGTGGGAGCTGCTGTGCCATTGGAGCAAAATCCCACAAATTTCAGGAAGAGATTTTAAGATGGTGGTTCACCATGCTGCCCTGAAACTAGTCCCTAGCACAGCCCCTTCCGAGGGCTGGAAATTCCCGCTGCCTGGGGGAGGTGGCACTGAGAATGGGGAAGATCCTGTGGATGTCCTACCGCTACGTGTCGGCGCAGGGTGGACACGTCAGTGAAGGTCCTCTCGCAGGCCCGGCACTTGTAGGGCTTCTCTCCAGTGTGGATGCGCTGGTGCCGCCGCAGAGCTCCCTGCTGTGTGAAGGCCTTCCCACACTGCTCGCAGAAATAGGGACGGGTCTCTGGGAATAACAATCCCAGCAAACACAGGGTTAGGATCACATAGGAGAGAGCAGCTGGCTCTTCAGCCCCTTCCCTGGAAGTGTCCAAGGCTGGATGGGGTTTGGAATAACCTGGGAGAGTGGAAGGTGTCCATGGCAGGGGGTGGAATGAGATGACCCCTAAGGTCCTTCCAATCCCAGCCATCCCATGATAAATATTTCCCAATACCTGCCAAGGCTACAGCCATGCATTACTCCAAATTTCTTCAGCTGCACAATCCAGGCCTCAGTTTTTTAGCATAACACACAATGCTCCCATTAGCCAGGGTCAGGATGACGCCTACTTCCCAACGGAATTTCCATCCTTGGAGCTGTCCAATGAATGCTTGGATGTGGCACTCAGTACTCTGGGCTGCTGACAAAGTGGGGAGTGGGCATAGCTTGGACTCTATGACCTCGGAGCTCTTTCCTAACCTCAGTGATTCTGGGATCCCCTAATTCAGCAATGGGATGGAATGTCCACATCCACTGTGGGAAGTACCACAAAGCCACCTTTCCTTTTCCCAGCCTTGGAATTACCTGCATGGACGTTGCTGTGCTGGGCCAGGGAGGCTCTGAGACCGAAGGCTTTCCCACAAACTTCACACCTGTAGGGTTTGGCTCCCAGGTGACAGCGCCTGTGGCACTTCAGGTACTCGTTGGTGGCAAAGTCCTTCCCGCACACGTCACATCTGAAGAGCCGCTCTCCTGAGGGAAGAGAAACTGAACATTGGGAATTCTCACAGGGGAGTTTTGTCCTTCAGAGTCAGCCTACAAATCACAGAACCCAGGCTGGAAAGACCTCCAAGGTCATTGAGTCCAACCTCTGCCCAATCCCCACCTCGGCAACCAGTGCCACATCCAGCTGTCCCCTGAGCACGTCCAGGCATCCACCCATTCCAGTGCCTGATAACCCTCTCCATGAAGGAATTCTTCCTCATATTCAACCTGAGTCTCCCCTGGCACCACTTGAGGACATTCCTCTCACCCTATCACTTGTTCCTTGGGAACAGAGCCCAAATTCCCCCTGGCTCCTGTCAGGGAATTGTGGAAAGCAACAAAGTCCTTCCAGAGTCTCCTTTTCTCCAGGCTAAAAGTCCTTCTACCCCTATGAGTTCCTTCGTGGTACTTGGATACGCTTTCATGAGTTACAAAAAAAAAAGGAGGGGTTTTTATTTCATATCTCAGCAATAAAACAGGAAAGAGATGGAAAAACCACCTGGAATATTTAATTCCCACCTGTGTGTGTCCTTTTGTGGCCAGTGAGTTTTCCTCTGTCGGCAAAGGAAGCACCGCAGTCCTCACAAATGTAGGGCTTCTCCCCAGTGTGGGATCTAATGGAGAGAAAGCATCAAAGATTAGTAATTAATTAGGTCTTTATCCCTAAAATACTGGATTTGAAACCATGTTTGGATTTTAAATGTAGTGGGAAAAGGAAATTCTGCTCCCTCAGAAAACTGAGTGTCTACAGGTACAGGTGCTACACTCCAGGAGTAAAATTCCCATTTAAAATTGACCTTTTAAAATTTAAAATTCCCATTTAAAATTTACCTTTTCCTCACTTTCAGGCCCTAAAAAATCCACCTTTTTCTCCCAGACAGCTCAGAGCATGGGAAAGGAGAAAGAAGGGAAAATGACAGAAAATTAGACAGAATCAGAAAAATCTGAGCCTAATGTTTGGTCTTAACTTATTGCAACTTAAAGAAGATGCTGTCCAAAATAATTCCTGATTTTGAGCTGTCAGGACTAAGGATTATCATCAATCTTCTCTGGAGAAAGATGGGAAATTCCATGGGATGATTCACTCTCTCCTGGGAGAGGGCACATCTACACAGACATCACCAGGGAATAACTCATCATGTGAACCTCCAGCCGAGTAGTGTGGATTTGGAGTTGCACATGAGGATGAAATCCCATGGGAATTCCTTGCTCCAAGAGCGAGCACGGCTCAGAATCCATTTTCCAGGAACCCTGACTCACTCTTCATCACTGAGGATCATAGTGGGATTTTAGAGCCTGTCCGAAATGACAGATATTCCTTGCAAGTTTGGACAGGGTATCCATGTCGTAATCCTGACCATGGGAAATGCAACATGGGGCCAAAGCCTTTGCATAAGGGAATTAATCACAGATCCCACTGATTCAAATATCCTGATGTTCCTGCTCTAAGGGGCAAGGAATGGGCATGGCTGGAATCTGACCTGGTATGGATCTTGAGCTGGGAAGGCTGAGCAAACCTGGAGTGACACACGCCACACTCGTAGGGCTTCTCGCCAGTGTGCGTCCGCATGTGGAACACCAGCGCCGTGTGGGAGCTCAGGATCTTGCCGCACACGGAGCACAGCGGCCGCTTGGCCCTGCCCTCATGCTTTCGCATGGAGTGAGTCCTCACATCCCGCTTCCTCTTGAAGGTGGCCTGGCAGAGGCTGCAGGAGAACCTCCTCTCCTCATTGTGCACATAGGCACGGTGCTCCTTCCAGCTGGTATAGCTGGCGAAGGCTTTGCTGCACACCTCGCAGCGGTACACGTTGCCAGGCAGGCTCCGGTGCACATCCCGGCAGTGATCCACATATTTTTTCCGGGAAACAAACTGCTCCTGGCACTTGTCGCAATGGATCACGTAGATGGATTTCTTGTTGGCCACACTTTCACTGGCCTTCTTTAGTTTAAACCCTGGTTCAGGTTCTTTGCTGTCCTTCTCTGTTGAGGCTTCATCCTCCTCCTCCTCAGAACATACCTCGTTGTCCCTGCTTCCTTCAACTTCCGAGTATCCTGTGTCATAGTCTCCCTGCTCCTCGCCCTTCACACTCATTCCACCTCCATCTTCATTTGCTCTTTTAGCTTCCTGGGATTCCTCTTGCTCCTTGCTCCTTTCTGCTTCAGCAATGGATGAATTCCTGGCATCTTCCTCACACTCTGAGGTTTCTGGTGTCCCATCCCAAGTCTCTCCGTTGGGATCTTTGTCACGGCATGTGGGGTTTAGGCCATGTGTGGGTGGAACCACCATCCAATAAACAGGCAGGAGTTTCCTCTCTTCCCCAGACTCATGGATTTTCCTGTTAAAAACGGAGGACAACTTCCATTAAGTTTAATTGAAACTTATTAATTGTTTAATTGTTCCAATTCAGGCCTTGGGGGAAGAGTCCTTTCCCTTGAATTGTTCCTTGCACATTTAAGAAATTCCCAGCATGTTTGGAAAGCCTGAAAATAGGGAGATTTTGGGAAGAGTTGGACCAGATAATTAAAGAAAATTAAAATGCCTCAGTTCATTAAGATCTGTATTTTTCACCTGACTAGGAATGTAGGATGGACTTTTCCTCCCAGGCCATGAAATCATGGATTTAAACTAAAGGAAATAGAGATTAAATGCCTAGATAGAGACACAAAATTCCTATTTAAAACCCCAAATCTCAGGATTCCAAAGAAATCTGGTTGCACAAGTCCCCCTTAATCTAGTGGGAAATTCCCTAAATTGCCCATCTAGGAGACCTCAATCCAGTCATCGTCACTGCAAGGTCAAATGAAAAATCCCTATTTTAGCATGCTTCGAGTCAGATCCAAGGAATTCTGGAACTGAGACAGGGAGGACTCCAGGAATGATTTATCACAGAATCCCAAGGAAGTGCATTCCCAGAAATGCCATACCTGAGATGGGAGGTGTAGGCAGCCCTGTGGGTGAAGCTGGCGGGGCAGTGCTGGCACCTATAGCACCCATCCCCCGTGTGTGTCCGGATGTGCGCGGCCAGGCTGCACTTGGAGCTGATGGCCTTGTCACAGTAGGGACACACCTGGGATTCCTGCTTCTGCTCCTTCTCCCTGCAGAGAGAATGACCATCCTTGTTTTCCAGGCTGGTGATATCCACACACAGTCTGGTTGGGGAATGTGTCTTGTTGCATTTGGGCAGCTTTGCTGGCCTGGATTTTGGGGCTGGAAAAGCTGTGGCCTCCTGCTCCAGGCCTCCTGCTTGGCCACCAATGAGCTCATAGCCCGGCAGAAGCTCCTTATGTTTCTGCCTATCCCAAAGTTTTCTCTGCATGGGAATTGCCATGACCTGGGAAGAGTTCCTGGGGTTTTCCTCTTGCTGGATACAAGGCCACTGTGATCCCCTCTTTTCACCCCTCTGCCCTTTCATGTGGAGGCTCAAATCCAAGCCCTTCCTGCCTTCTGCTTTCACTTCCTCACAGATATCAAGCAAATCCTTGCATTCCAGCCTTTCTGCTATTTCCTTCATCCTCTGGAGTTTTCCCGCCTCTATCTCCACTTCTGCTGTGTACACAAACTCCAGGAAGGAGGTGAACTCCTCGGTGTAGATGTCCTGCAGAGTCACCGTGCACTTCTGGGTGTCCAGTATCTCCTGGTGCAGGAAGAGCCCCTTGAAGTAGTTGCTGGAAGCTGCCAGGACGGCTTTATGAGCCAGGATTTCCTCCTGAATTCCCAGGTGTTGGGTGAGGACTGTCACGTCACAAAGGTGCCCAAGCTGGTAGAGGGAATACAGAGCCCTCAGGAGGTTGGGAGCAGCAACCTTGGACTTCATCAGGATTTTCTTCTTCTCCATCCTGCCAGAAGAAACAGAAAAGCGTTGGAATATTTTTTCTTGTCTTTCCATTCAAGTATGGCAGGGAAAGCTCAGTGGAATTCCATGCCATAATTCCTTGTTCACCCTTCACCTTGTTCACCAGCTTCATGTCCCTGATGTGGGGACACAACCCTAATTGCAGAACCACTGATATTGGAAAAGACCTTCAACCTTTGATGGGTCACCACCACCTGAACTAAACCATCTCCCAGGAGCAGGAAATTGAGGGAATATAGGCAAAAGAGTGTTTCCTAAATTCTATTGGAAAAGGATTGCTCACATCCAGATTCCTACTGGGTAATTCCAACAGCCAGCAGGGATCTCTGCAATGCTCTCAACCCAACACCTGCCAACTATTCCCATGTGGAGACACAACCCCACCACACTGGAAGCAGTGCAGATCCCAAGGTTCAGCTCCAAAATCCACAGGAGCTTCCAGCCCATCTGCTGCCTCCGTATTTTCCAGCAGGAAATCCTGATTTCTGTGCAGTGCTTAGAGAAATCAATGAGAGCAGCACGTGCTAATTTCCTGCTGCTCCTTTGCAAGATTCCCATCTGTGATAAGATCCTGATCTGTGTTCCCACTGGAGCTCCTCTAACACCAGGATCTGACACGGAGCCCAATGGAAGAGATAAATTCCAAGATCATCTCCAAGTTCAGCTTCTTCTGAATTAAAGCCCCCCAGCAACTGAAGCATCTTTCCACAAATCCACCAATTCCCACCATTCTTTCCTTCAGAAAAAAACCCTGAGATTTGTAGTTTTTGTTCCCATTTGGAAGCTGATCTTTAGTTTTCCAAAGTGCTGCTGAATACTTACGTCTCCAGAACACTCACTCCAATGATTTAAACAAAAACCCCATTTCCTCCTCATTTTATGTGTTTGTTTGTAACTTCTTTCCAGTTTTTTTCCTTGGCAGTTTGGGAATAAATAGTTTAAAAATGTGCACACAAGCGCAAGATTTGCAGAAAGCATAATTAATCCATGAGATTACTTGCAAAGACAATTTAATTGCATCAGAACTGATGCAAAACTCAAACTGTATTTCAATTCAATTACAGGGTTCCTGAAGGGAAACTGGAATCAGTGCAACTGGAATTGGTACAATTCCTTTAAAAAATAAAGCCCAACAGTGGCCTGAATCTCCGAAAAAATATTAATAGTTGTGTTATTTTATAATCTCCATTTACCTGTTGGAAAATTTCTGTTTTATCCACCTGAAAATCTCCATTTATGCTCCAAAGCATCCCTATTTATCGTTCAGGATCAATCTCCATTTACCCCTCCAATCTCCATTTATTTTCCAGGAAAATCCCCATTTATGCTCCAGGGGAAATAAAAAAAAAAAAAAAAAAAAAAAAAAAAAAAAAAAAAAAAAAAAAAAAAAAAAAAAAAAAAAAAAAAAAAAAAAAAAAATCTCCGTTTATGCTCCAGAGAATTTCCTTTCTCCCTCCAGCAAACTGCTGACCAAATTTCTCTAAAAGCCCTAAAGTTTGGTTTTTTTTTTTTTTTGAAACACATTTTTTTTTTTTTTGAAACACAGAGCACTTGGATTTCTCCCTGACCACGTTACCTTCGGGATACCCCTGGAAAGGCTCCTCCCCCGAGGAACACAAGGCTGGCCCGGCACCGACGCTCACCATCCTCCGGGAATGCTGCCGCGCCGTGTTGCTCCTCGTGCCACTGGCACAGCCGGGATCATCTTCTGGATTTTGAATGCAGCCACAAGATTTGTATCCGTGCGCAGATATCCGGGAAGAGCTGCGAGGGAAGCAGAGATAGGCAATGTTTATCCCAGCGCTTGGCATAAGCGGGAGGCTCGGCGCTCCGGGACGTGAGGGGTCACCTGTGCGCTGCCGGAGGCGGCAGCCGCCGGGAATCATCTCCCGTCCGGCAGGAGCAGCCGGGAATCCCCTTCCGCCCAGCAGGAGCAGCCGAGATCGCTCCCGCCGCTCCCGGGGGTGATTCCCGGCGCTCCGGGGCTCCATCCCGAGGGTTTTTCCCAGCCCCGGCCCGCCCTCACCTCGCCGCCGCCTGCCGCCCCAGAGCGCCGCCGCCATTTTGAGTGCGGGCAGGGCGTTCCCGCAGACCGGGGGAAAATCCCTTTGGACCCCAGCCCGCAAAACACCCCCGAAAACAACAACAACAACAGCAACACTCCCCAAACGACTCATTTCGGAAACAGTTTGTTTTCTTTCACGCTTTCAAAAAGCCACGTTTTATGAGGTTAAATGATGCGTGTCCCCAGTTTGCTGTGGCAGCTCCTCAGCCTCTCCCAGTGTGGGTACTGGGATATCCAGGAGGATACCGGCATATCTGTGAGGATACTGGGATAGCCACCGTGGATACTGGGAGATCAGTGCCAGAGTTAAGAGAGGGGTTTATATAAACCAGTATAAAGCGCTGAACTTTAGTGGGGTAAATCTGGCATTAGGAGAAACATGGGGTCTCCCTGTTTCTTCCCACTAGTGATCCCCTATTCCTGTCTTTTATCACATAAAATAATATCAAAGTGGGCTATCAAGCACTTCCAATCTTTTTTTCCAAGATAAATTCCTCTTTTGTAGCATTTTTTCCCCCACTTAAGGTTTTAAAATCTTCACATTTTAACAGCTTATAAAAATGCTGGGTGACTGTAATTCCCTGAGGAAATGTAAAGTAAATTCCTTCATAAAAAATAAATCAGGAAAGGCAGACATCTGTGCTACCCACGTTTTCAATCCTGATTATTTTGTTTGTAGTCAGGGGATGTTTCTATTGTCCAGACACAGCTTTTGAAGTGGGAAGAACGAGCAGCAATATGAGTGATCCATGTTGAAAATGTCAGGATAATATTCCTGTATCTTCACATGAGGGAATGGTGTTTGCTTTTCCTTTACCGGAAAAAACAGTGTGCTCGGCAGCTCTCACCCAGAGGAGTTGGGAAGCTCCCAGCCAATTTAGTCTGAATTCCACAAGGATGGAGGGAATTTCTGGATATGCTGGGCTGTATCCGTGTGTCCATCCCAGGAGGGATTTTCCCAAGGCTGGATTTTGCTCTGCTCTTTGCCACCCGTTTTGTTTCTCAGGAGATTCACTTGATTCTTCAAATCTTCCGGGCACTTGGATGCATTTCAGGGATTCTCTAGAACCCGTGGAATTCTCCATGTCTCTCATGTGGGGAGAGACAAGGAAGAGCATCATATCTGCTCTTTCCCAATCCCTAATTTTGGAATTTCAACAGGAGGGATGAAACGTGTAGGAGGCAGCTGTGGGAGATGCCAATCTTGGATGTCTTTGGTGGGTGAAGAATTCCAGGTGCCAGGATGGGGAAATAAAACAACCTGTTAAGTCAAAACAACAAAATCCAGGGAAGACTTGAAGCCTGGGAAGTCAGATTTTATTTGAGCACTTCCCTTGGCTGGGAGTGGAGAGATGGCTTGGGCTTTGATTGTGGTGATGAAAACCGGGAAAAGGGGAAAATGGGGTTGGCTCTACCAGTCAGGTTCTGCTCTTGATCCATCCTACTCCTTGAGTTTGTGGCTCAAGGTCAGCCAGGACATCTCCATCAAAGCAAAGGATGGAAGTGTCCCCAAATCCCAGGTTCCTTCCCCCTGGAGCACAGCAGGAAGTGGCACCGGGGTTTTGGCAATTTTGGCTCTTCCCAGCAAAGCTGGGTGGACATTTTGGAACTCTCCAATGAAACATCCTCGTGTGTTTTCCCTGGATGGATATGCCTTCCTTACAGCTCCACCAGAGGATGCTGCAGGCTTTGGAAAGAGCTGCCCGGACTGTAGCCCTGCTCATCCCTTTAATCCAGAGGAATCTGACCATGGATATCAACCATGGCACTGCAAAGAGAGCTTCCAAAAGCCTTTTCTCAGGAGCCAAGCAAGCCTCCAGATCATCCGTGAAACAGAGACAGATCTTTCAGCATGGGCTAAAAATGAAAATTCCAGAGAGAAAATCCTGATGGAGAGCAGCGAGCAGTCCTTGCTACCTGTGTCAGCACTGAGCACTGCTTAGCCTATTGTTCTGCTCTCCATAAGAAATTTTGGCATGGGATTGTGCTACAAATCAAACATCCCATGGATTCTCCCTCTCATGTTCAGTCTCAAGGAGCCAGAGCTCTGTATATCCTAGCAGAACGCTTCCAAGATCCTGGTGTCACTTGAAAAACACTGGAATTGAGGGAAGTCTGTGTGTGTTTTGTCTGAAAAAGAAGATTTTAAAATCCTAAAAACCATCAGAGTTTAATTCCCACCAAGGTTCTGGTGGGAAAAACCTGAACCAAGGAGGAATAGGAGAAGACCTTTAAGATCACCAAGTCCAACCACCAAATTCCAAGATTTGTGTTGGAGGGGACCTTAAAGATTATCCAGTCCAACCCCCTGCCATGGGACACTTACCACTATCCCAGGGTGTTCCAACCTGGCCTTGGATGTTTCCAGGGATGGAGCATCCGCAGCTTCTCTGGGAAACCTGTGCCAGGGCCTCCCCACCCTCACAGAGAAGGATTTCTTGCCAACATCCCATCTATCCCTGCAGTCTGGCAGTGGGAAACCATTTCCGCTTGTCCCATCATTCCAGGCCCATGGAAATACTCTCTCTCCATGTTTCTTGTAGCTCATTCAGGTCCTGGAATGCCACATTTGTGTCACCCCAAAGCTTCTCCTCTCCAGGTTGAACACTTGGAGCTCTGGAAAACCAACGACTTTTAACGGATCAAGGTGATAAATAAATTAAATAAAACATAATTAAATAAAAATAAATAACAAACCAACTAAAAGCCCTTTTCACCCCTCTGTGTTCCCTGGGGTTGTGGAGCCAACACTTTGGATGCCAACTTCATGTCCCTGATGTGGGGACACATCCAGGAGTCACTGGAAGGGCTCCCAACAAGGTCAAGACCCCAGCTGGGGAGGGTTTCTCCAGAATGAGCTTGGAGCTAGCTCAGCAGAATCCTGGGCACAAAGGAACACAGGTTTTTGGCTCTGGACTGTGAATTCCAAATGTTCCCTCTCATTTTTTTTCGGGAGCTCATTCCTGTGTAGCAGTGATTGTGATAGTATGTATTCCCACAGCTTCAGGGGAAGAGGGAGTGGGACTGCTTTGGAATTAATTCCCTGCAATCCACAGTCCTGACAAGTGACATGTTAGGGTGATGGAAATCCAAATTCTGGGAGTATATCTATGATGCTTTCCTTCTGACACAAAATAAATCCTCAGTACAGCTCATTTACTTGTTTATCACACGTTTTTAAGCTCTTGGCACTTTGAAAACTTCTTTTCCTCCTTCTCCCAAATATTTTAACCCCTGCTAAACCATGTGCATCAAACCCAGAAGTTGCCTCTGGAAGTAAAGGATTTTCCACCACATTCCATGGATATTGTTGGCCTGATCCACGTATTTTTATCTCCTTAACACTCCCAGTCAAGCCCAAACTGAAAATGTCTTAATTGATTTTGAAATAATTGAACTTTGAAATAGTTGAGTCGGGGGGTTATGGAATATCCTAAAGATACCATTTATTCGTCTGGGATCTGGAAAACAGGTGGATAATGTTTAGTCTCCAGCTAATGGACAGGATGTTAATGCTTTTCCCGGTTGGAAAGGAGCAGCCTCCTGTTTAATTACAGTTCAGTATAAAAGAAATATTCCATTAGCAAAAGGAGATGGGGGGGAAAAAAATCTCTTTTTTTCCCCCTCTCTTCTCCACAGGGTTCCTTCTAACTCAAAATACGCAATAAAGCTGTACAGAATGCAGAGGATCCCAGGGAGTAAATTCAGATTAGCGCCTTGCTGCAAGCCAGAACAAATCCAGCAAAACAACCCCCAAAGTTATTCTTAATGGCAAGGAAAGAGGGAACTCCTGCCAGATTTACACTCCTGTTGTTTCAAGACTTCGATTAAAAGATTTCATGGAGATCATTCCGGACAAATTCCAGCTGATCCCAGCTGTTCACCAGGGAAAATTATAAGTAAAATAAATCTAAATACATCAGATTAAGTGATATTTTTCCAACAGCTGTCTGTGTTTTTCCCTTGTTCCCCAGAAAGCAGCATTCCCTCACAAGATCCCAACTTCTCATCCTCCTACAGATGCCTCTATGCCTCTTGACTTTTACCAGAATTATCCCAATATTTTTTAATGCAAATGTATGTCTTCCCAGCAATAATATTTTTCCCTCAGTGTTTGTTTTTCCTTAGTGCTGAGCACTCACTGTGGTTTGTGAATCCAAATTATTTGGGGAAAAAACAAGAATTTCAGTTTATATCTGCGTCCTGAACCTGAGTGTTTTCAGGGAGAGTATTCCTTCCTCCAGGTGCTCCTGCAGGGATGAGAAAATGCCCTTTTTTAGTCCTAGTTTGGGTGTGGAATCTTGGCATAGGAATGACTAAACATGGAAGGAGCAGCTGCCTGGAGAAACAAACACCTGGCAAAATATTTTGGGGAATTTCAGGATGAGTCATCCCAGGCCTCGCTGGGGAAGCTCAGCCCCAGCTGCAGCTACGGTGATTGCCTTCAGTCCACAGAATCCCATGGAATTACTTGAGGTTGGACAAGACCTCTGGATTTGCTGAGTCCAACCTGTCACCCAGCCCAGGAGTGGCATGTCCATGTATTCCTTGGACTCCTCCAGGGGTGGGAATTCCAAACCTTTCTGTGTTGTTACAATCCTTAACAACCCATTCCGTGAAGAAATTCCCATCTGCCTTCATCTCTTATTTAATCCAGGCCTGTTCCAGGGATGGGAATCTCTAATGTCCCTGGGCAATTCCAATGCTAACATCCAATTCCATAAAGAAATTCCCATCTCCTTAATCTCTAATTCAAGGACACTTCCAGGAGTGAGCCTCCAAACCTTCCTGGACAATTCCCAAGCCTGACAACCCATTCCATCCATCTGCTTTTATCCCATTCCAGAACTGCTCCAGGGATAGAAACTCCAAACTTCCCTGAGCAATTCCAATGCTAACACCTCATTCCATTAAGAATTTTCCATCTGCCTTCATCTTATTCCATCTTTTCTCCTTTCAGCTTCTCCTGCTTGGAGAAGATCTATGCCAAGATTCATCCCGCAAAGCT